TTTCCATTTTACATATACACTTCCATAAATTAAAAGGAATGAAGTTATTATAGTTAATATATGCAAATCGTTATCAAATCGTATATTTTCCTTTTCTTCCATTACATGTGTGCGATATATATAAATATATAAACTATGTTACATGCGTTATATGTGTCTCTAATTATTTTTCCCTAGCAAATTTCAATTGAACCTAAAGTCGCCACGTCAGTTTAATTGATATGCTAATTGATTGACAACTAAGCAAAGTTACTTTTTAATTAATACAAACTTGAGGTTACATCTTTTCAAATGTTTCTCAATTAATATATAGGGGATGCGTGTTCCTACACATTAATTAATACATATTTATACATTAATATATTTCAGTAAAGTTATGTCAAGCAAAAAGATCGAGAGTTAACCAAACACGTAAGAAATCGTAATTAATCGTTCAAAAAGATAAATTTTTAAAAACCAGGGTTTGAGACTTTGAGTTATTGTGTTTGTATAGTAACTCAATAATCTGGATACCATTAATGTTGTTGATCTCAAATATGCAAAAAAAAAAATCATAATATTTTTTTACAGAAGCACAAAGGTGTGTTTTTTGCATTAAACTTGAATACTTGATTAACAGCTATATTGGTCCAGGTAACATAAATATTGGTTAGGCGAGTTAGTGGAGGGGAGGGGGGTCAGCAAATGTAGACATTACAATATATATTTTTTTTGAAAGAAAACAAAATTTTAACTTGTATTGTGATTTAAGGTTTAAAGAATACTGCTAAAATGCAAACACATTACAGAAGTACAAATAAACACACATAAATAGGTTCTTTAAATTTGATAGACCTTTATATTGGTGAGGAAGAAGAATTACATGGGAGGTCAGCAAATATACAAATGTTAAACTTATATTGTTACGTTAATATTTATTTTGTTTGTGTATAGTATTGATGTGCATTAAGTTTTATACTATTGACGTGCAATGCATAAGTTAAAGATTTCAAATGAACTTCTTGTGAATTCGATTTAGGTAATTGTATACTAAATTTGAAAAAGACACTGCTTAGATTTATGACTAGTTAATTTATCAGTGGTATTTAAACGTAAATAAGTGATAGTTTAAAGCGGTAATATATATTTATAATTCTATTTTAATAAGATAGATTGCTAGGGATTCTATTTCTATTGTCTTTTTTTCTTATCTCTAAGAAATTGAACTACTAGTTTTCTTAAAGCTAAACATATCTACCGCTAAGTATAATCAGTAGTGTCTATTTATATTAGTAAAGATAATATGTAAATGAAATATATATACATATATGACATTTTAAGAATATGTTTTAAAATACCTTTAAATTGAAAATAAATGTTTAAATGTTTAACAGAAAAAAACTATTGCGTCTAGAAAACGATATGCTGAAATTTGTGGTAATTTCCCACTTTTTAGTTTGCCTACCGTTGAGGAAAGAGCAAAACCGAGAGCTATACACCGAGAGTCAAATGAGAAAACGACTCTTGTCGTTTTGGTATTCATCATATCCAATCAAAGTTTCACTCAGCGAAATTTAATCTTTCACCCAATACAAATCAAACTTTCTTCATCAACAGATACATTATTTCATCAACTATCACACACACACACATATATATATATATATATATATATATATATATATATATATATATATATATATATATATATATATATATATTTTCTGTAAATAGATAAAGATATATATTTGAATTTTTATTTTTTGTTTAAAAAAATATATAAATATATATATATATATATATATATATTTTTTTTTTTTTTTTTGTATTTCATGGTGCATTGTAGATAATCTTCATATATTTTATTGCTCCTTTACATGCGCATATAAGAAATTAGGTTTTTAATACACATACACTTTCTTATGAACAAGCCAGATAATATCATAATTGCCTGTCTAGGAGGTGACACATGAGAATTATTCAATGATACTAAATGTTTTTGGTGAAAAATGTTGAAAAGCAATTATGAGACTTTTTTAAAAATATGCTCTATGCTTTATTCATCCCCCCCCCCCCCCCAAACCAATGAGGTACCATTTGCAACAGTCAGTTTAAACAAGAGATGAAAGGAAGCTATATGTGATACAAGAGAGATAGAAATACATGTGAAAAACGAAAAAAAAAGCGACCTTCTTTTTGTTTTATGTTGTTTAAATCACGTCAGAAAACCATGGAACATATGAGACAATAGTTGTCTCCATATGCAAATTTTCCATATACTAGTTTTCTACAAATGCATTTTCTACATATAGATTTTTACATATGCATTGAACATTACCACTATAGGCCACTATCTCCAATTTTATATTATATACACAATCGAGATTTTTGTTCACCAGCACGATTTCTATAATTTTGATGGTTTAGTTGAAATTCATTATTGTTCAAAAAAAAAAAAAAAATTGGAGAAAAAAGCCATATCCAAGGATGTACACATCATATATATGGAAACTTTTGTTTTGACCATTTGTACACACATTATACGTACATGAATATCAGTGAGCTTACATACATATTAGTAACTTACACAAATGAGGAAATGAGTGGGGGACTGTATCTGCGTGAAACATGTTCATCAAACAAATGTACCTTTTTTTGTTGTCACAACAACAAATGTACCTTAAATGATATAAACAGTAGATCTATCAACTGTACATATATGGTTACACATTACATACCTGTCGATGGGTCATTAGCTCTAAAGTTGATTAGTCGATCTCGGTCTAAATATTCACCTGATCATAAATATATGTATATATATATATATATATATAATTTGTGTGAAATAAATTAAAACATTTATTCATACATGCAAGTGTCCATCAAAGTAGTACGATACGAATAATTATGAATCTTTTGGCACTTTACTAAATGTAATAATGAAAACAACATTGGCAAGTCAACTCATGATAGTAAATTTTTGGTTAATGCCATTTCAACAAAATGGGTTTTTGTTTTGTTGTCACTTTATAGCCAGACAGTTCCATATAGTTCACTGGTCCGATCGATGCAGTCACCGGTTGCTATATCTTTTCCTCCTTTTATCCGTGTAATACCGCCACCTTTTTTAACTTTTTCCTTTTCCTCTTGTTTCTTTGAAATTAATGATGAATACCAAATAGTTGATATGCATAATTGTGAAATTTTTGACTGAATGATCAAATCAAGCCCATAACTCTAGTTAATGTGTTTTTTTCTGTCAAACACAACACAAAACTTTAGTCAGAAACAAAAAAAACTCAGCACATAGTTGTACTTCGACGAGTTTTCCGTGAGAAGTACGAAAAATTAACCGAATCAAAGTTTGATTGTTTGAACTGGCTGTCTATTCATGTGAATAATCTATATAACTGCTCTTCTACAAAAATTACGGATGAGTTACATAATTAATTTTAGTTTTTCTCATAGCTACTGGACCCAATTCCCCTAGTTAATACTCTTCGGACACCATTTCTTTGTTAAATATCTAAATCACATGCTTAATATTGTAGAGAAACATGCTTAAGTTGTGTTTGTTTGTTTGTTTAATCACATGCTTACATATATGAAGTAAGTAATTTCCGGAGGAAAAGACATTAAAGGAAAAGTTTAGGGGACAGAATATAAATCGAGATCCAAATATATTAAAGGAGAAGTTTAGGGAACAGAATACATATAAGAAGATCCGAAGATATACATTGAGAGTGAGGGTTTACCAAATCAAAAATCTAAATATAAATCAAGAATGCCCACGTAAGTTTCATTTTCTATTTTTTGAGTATGCTGAAGTCATTTTGATGTAATTTCCTCAAAACGAAGGGCGGATAAAATAATTGGAAATCTTTTTCAAACACGCACAATGAATATGCATGCATGTCAATCATGTTGACTTCTCTCACACCCATAGCTTTCGAGACAAAAGTGAATTAAAATTAATGTATTTAGCAATAATAATAATAATTGATAGGGTGAGTCCATATCCAGGTCTCTTATTAAAAGGCCACAAATTCAACCACTCCATATCTCAAAAGGTTCATCTTAAAAAACACAAGTGAGAAAACACTTTCTCTCTTTTTTTTGTTCTGATCTTCAACACACTAACGAGAGAAAATGGGAAGGGCTCCATGTTGCGACAAGACAAAGGTGAAGAGAGGGCCTTGGTCTCCTGAGGAAGACTCTAAGCTTAGAGGTTACATTGAGAAGTATGGTAATGGTGGAAACTGGATCTCCTTTCCTCTCAAAGCCGGTAATCATATATGTTCTTAACTAAATTTATTTTTTTATATCTTCTTCACCTTATTTTAACTCCAAGCCTAAACAAGAGCTTGTGCCGTTTTTTATTGTTGTTGTTGTTAAGGTTTGAGGAGATGTGGGAAGAGTTGTAGATTGAGGTGGCTAAACTATTTGAGACCAAACATAAAACATGGTGACTTCTCTGAGGAAGAAGATAGGATCATTTTCAGTCTCTTTGCTGCCATTGGAAGCAGGTACTCTTAAAAGCTATATTCTGATATATAAATGGTATCATTTTGTTTCTACTTCTTCTTGAGGGCCCTTGAATAGTTATTTACTCATGAGTTAGGTTAGAAGGCATTATTTTGGAACTAGTGATTAAAATATTTTTCAATCAAAATCATTCTTAACCTGGAGAGTTCAAGAACGAGCTTAGTTTGTTAGTCAAAACTGCGAGCTACATTTATTCATCTAGTTTTGCAACATTTTCCTCCAGCATTAACTACTAATAGACATATATATATTGAAACTTGTAGATGGTCAATAATAGCAGCTCATCTACCAGGAAGAACAGACAATGACATCAAAAACTATTGGAACACTAAGCTAAGGAAGAGACTCCTGTCTTCTTCTTCTTCCCCTCATTCATCATCATCCATGCCTTCTCCTTTTGTAAACCCTATTTCTCAGGATGTGAAAAGACCATTAACCACAATTGCACCTTCTTCCTACAATCCGTACGTTGTAAGCCCAACAAAAGCTCCCATCTCCACCATCAATGGCTTTGAAACTGATGACCACCAGATCTTTCCATTTGTCAACCCTAATTATCTTCAAGATCTCTCTCTATCAGAGAGCAACAACAACAACAACAACAACAACTTTTCGGGCTCGAGTGGTTTCTCGCTCAACCACAATATGTGTGATCACTACAGCAACCACAACAGTTTCTCCTCAGACGTTAGTGGAAATAGGTCAGAGATTATGATGAAGCAAGAAGAGATCATGATGCTGATGATGATAGACAACCACATTGACCAGAGGACAAAAGGGTACAATGGAGATTTCACACAGGGATATTACAGTAACTACATTAATGGACATGGGGATTTGAAGCAAATGATTAGTGGAACAGGCACTAATTCTAACATAAACATGGGTGGTTCAGGTTCAGAATCAGCTTCATCTTCTAGTTCCATAAGCAACCTAGCTGAGAACAAAATCAGTGGTAGCCTCCTACAACACAAGTGTTTGCCCTATTTCTACTCCTAGTTCTTCTAGACTCTCTTGTCTTCTTATATAAATATATCTTGGACTGACTGTTAGTAAAATCAGAGATTTGATGGGGTATGGGAGGAGAGAGAATGAGAGAATGTGTGTGTAAGAGAGAGAGAGACTATGATCAGCTTCTATGGGATTTTGTTTTTCGTTTATTATTATATATTCGATCTTTGTAAGAGTTATCTTGTTAGAAAGAGACAATTGGCGATTTGATTTGATGAAACCAAAAAGGATGTATTCATGGTTGAACGAGCTTATTTTTTGTTGTGAAAAGTAAAAGATCATATCAGCTTTTAGTTAAAACTTAGATAAAGTATATGATGTATACCCTTTAACAAAAAAAAAGAGGAAAGTATATGGTACGGATCATTGTTCTTGTTTCTAAAATTAGATGAAATTATTACTATTTTAGGGATGTAAATGATTGTGTTTTAATCTAGAAGAATTGTTTTAATCAGTTAATCTAAAAAATAATTAAATTAATCTGAATTTTATATCTTAAATTACATATTAAATCAAAGTAATATAAAACTTTAGAATGTTTAGTTGTTTTGTAAATATAAATAGTATATGCTTGATTACATAGCATAAAGAGAAGAAAGCATTGTGTATAAAAGTCATCACCTCTGGTCAGTGTCTCAAGCGGCGAGGAGAAACTGATTGATGGAACACACAGATGTTATTCAGCTATTCCAAATGACATATATACCCCTGCCAGTTGGTTTGTTTCTTTCAAAATTTTACAAAGGAAAACAAAACTGTAGCGACAGAAATGTTAACACTTGCACGCCAGCGCTAATAGAGCGTCACCTAGTAGTGTTATTTATTGAAGGTGGTGAGGCTTTAAAAAATGGGAACAAGTGATATTTACGCTCACTATTCAATACTATTGTTCAGAGTTGCAATCTAATGGTCGGTTCGTTTCTGTTTTAACATTAAGTTTCGTTTTCTTTTAAACCACAAGAGCTTCTACAATTCATAAGACGATTATGATTAATCATAAGAAGATGAGCAGCAGAAGATACACAGGAAAATGGTTAAAATATATATTATGCAAATATCTAACCGGTTGTTTGGTAAATAAAAGATTACAAACCACTTTTTCTTTTAAATGGTTTATAGCCGATTCATTTGATTCGTAGCCAGCCATTGTAAGCGTCTATTTAAACCATATATGACTAAACTACACATGTTATGAAACGGCCCATTACATATTTACATTATAAATATCTTTTAGCTTAATTACGGCCTTGTAGACTGATGAAAAACCTCAAGTTCTTTAGTTTGGTTGAACAAAATCACTAATAATTGGGCTCAAAAAGGCCCATTATATTGGTTTTGAAGAAAATGATGAAGTCCACTCTTTGTTTTTTTGAACACCGATGAAGTCCACTCTATGGAACTGAAAAACTACTGTAAGCAATTGAAACTGAAAAAGGTGAAAAAAATAGGTTAAAAACGAAAATAAAAAGATGAAAATTTTCTTAAAAAATCTGCAAGCAGTTTATAAATAAAATGAAATGAAAATTATTGTTAAATATTTCTAAACTGAAATGTTTATCTTATACAGTTTTTATGTTATTTTCTTGCGACAGTTGTAAATGAAAATTATTTTATTTTCTTACTTTTATTTCCAACTAAAGTAAAAGTAAATAGTCGACCGTCGCAACAAATACCCCGAAATAAAAAAAGGAACGAACGTGCATAAGCATATTAACTGAAAAATTATAGTAATACATGAAGAAACGGAAAAAAAGGGATACGAAAACGTATGTGATGGACCATAACATGGTAGACATACATACATGTCATTTATCAACACCATTCATCATCATAATCATCATAAAACCCCCGTTAAAACGGACTCGTACTATAAATAGAAACGAAAGGTATAGTTTTATTTCCTCAAAGTCTTTCTTTGTGTTTCTTCTCTCCATCCTCCGACTCTGTCTCCACCCACTACTCTCTCTCACTACTAACCGAGTCATCATGGGCAAGGTAACTGAGTCAAACCGTCCTATAACAACATTCTCTAATCTTCTCTCTTTGATTTTTTTGTTTCCTTTCACTCTCTTATCTAATGGGTTTGATTTGCTCTCTCTGTTCCGTTTCTAAGCAGAACAACAAGGAGAACAAAGGAGATGGCGGCGGCGGCGGCGAGAAGAAAACGGCGTCAGTCACCGTCGTTTTGAAGATCGATATGCATTGCGAAGGCTGCGCTTCAAAAATCGTTAAATGCGTTCGTACTTTTCAAGGTTTGATTTTTTTTTGTAACGTTACAGTCCTTTTTATTCGTAGGTCGTTTAATCATCCCTATTTAATTGGTTTATTATTAATAATAATGTTTTTTCTCAGGCGTTGAGACTGTGAAGTCGGAATCAGACTCCGGGAAATTAACGGTGACCGGAGATGTAGATCCGGCGAAAATCCGGGAGAAACTTGAAGAGAAGACAAAGAAGAAAGTTGATTTGATTTCTCCTCAGCCCAAAAAGGAGAAAGAGAAAGACAACAACAACAACAAGAATGACACCAAGGACAAGACCAAAACCGATGAAGACAAGAACAAAGAAAAAAAACCAGAGGAGAAGAAACCCAAAGAGGTAAAACACAATAAAGTTTAACACTTTGGTTTTGTCTGATTATTACAGTTGATAAAGTTACTAACTTTATTTTAAGCAAACAAAAAAGTTACTAACTTTGTTTAATTAATGTTTTTAGGCTCCGGTGATAACGGCGGTGTTGAAGGTGGACTTTCATTGCCAAGGTTGTATTGGGAAGATCCAAAAGACTGTCACTAGAACCAAAGGTGTTATAGAGACACAACACAACTAATTTAAATCACGTTTTGGTTTTAAAAACTCTTAACACTTTTTTTTTTTACAATCTCAGGTGTGAATGGGCTAACAATGGATAGAGAGAAGCATTTACTAACCGTGAAGGGAACAATGGATGTGAAGAAGCTCGCTGACACTTTGTCGGAGAAGCTGAAACGTAAGGTGGAGATTGTGCCGGCGGAGAAGAAAGACAAAGAGAGTGGTAACGGGAAAGAGAAGGACTCTGGTGACAAGAAGAAAGGAGGAGAAGGCGGAGGAAAGGAGAATAATGGTGGTAACAAAGGCGGAGAAGGGGTGAATGCGATGGAGTATGTGGCGGCTCAGCCTGCTTATGGAGCAGCTTATTATCCGGGTGGGCCGTATGGGTACCCGATTCAAGCCCACGCGCCTCAGATGTTTAGCGATGAGAACGTGAATGCTTGCGTTGTTATGTGAGGCGGCGGTAGAAAATTGTATATATGCTATAATTTTGGGTATTCGGAGAAATACTAGTTTTATTTTGTTTTTTATTTATGGGCGTTTCTAATTTTTAAGTTTTTTTTCTTGAGTTAATTATGCAAATATTTTCTACAATCAAGAATAATTTTTAAGATTTTATCCTTGGCTAGTTTCAGTTGGGAATATATTATGTTCACTTGATATATTTCTTTTTACTCATTAATGCAATATTATCAAAAAAGAAATGGTTGTTGTCATTTAAGAGAACCAGAAAATTAGAGTAATCAGATTTTCTAAATTACAAAATAAAGTATCTATTTAATTTCTATTTTTTTTTGAAAGAGTAAAATAAAAGTTTATGCTCACAAACAGTGAACTGAGCTACAAATGGTTATGTTATTTTACCTCACTACATGATATGAACAATTATTTTGAAGGAAATAGCGTCACAAATGTAGGCTGCAATTCTTTTGGTTGCCCTACATTGACCACCAACCAACTCAACTTAATTTGCATGCATTTTTACTATAAACAACCAAGCTTTTTAACTTAAATACTTTATATTACTAACATAGAAGAGGTGCCTTGTTGTGTGCCTATCTGCACAGTTTTTTTGGCCTATAAGGAGTTAGTGAGATTTAATATTACCAAAAGAAATTTATTGACAGCATTAAATTGTTGAAAATTAAAAGCACAGTGGTGAATGTCCATAAATACTGAGTCAAAAGTACATAATAAATGCACAATTATATAACTACCATTCTCTTCTTTTTCCCTTTGTAATAAATTAGCTTACGTAGTTTCTTCTTCCCACCACTCGCTTGATTGGCAATCTCTGTCGTCTCAATTGCTCTTTTTGTTGTTTTAAAACACTAAAATAAGTTAAATAAACAATGTGCCCTCTATTTTCAACTTCTTTTTGCCCTCGTTAGTTTTTTTGTAAATAATTAAGATGACATAAATATTTGATTACCGAAAAAATGAAAATTTGTAGACCAGTTTTTAAAAGTATATAGTTTTGTTTCTGTTTTGAAAAAAAAAAAGACTAGGGTTTGAAGAAATGGTGTCGGTATTAGGTGTCTCTACTAAAACCTTGAGCCAGCTGGATGGGAATGCTCTTGAGTCTTGTCCTCTGCTTCATGCCCTCTCGCTTGTAAGTTGTAACTGTTGGAATATATATTATTCTTTCATTTTTGGACACATATGTGTTTATATAATATATCAAACTGAAACGGGTACACAACATTACAACATGTCCTTTTATATTTTAATACAATTGCCAATATTTATATCTAAACTACTCTTTTTATATGAGAGACTGAGAGTGAGAGAGTATGTAAATCGAACCATTGCCTACTCGAACAAAACAAGCAACTACCTAATAATGGATATGAAACTACTTTTGTAGTTTGAAGAGTGTTTTGTTGCCAAAAGAAACTAAACTTATTTCTGGTCGGTTCTTACTTCTTATTAGCATCAAAATTACTGTAGCCATAATATAATGAACTGAAACCCTATTATAGTTTTACTTGTAGACGGTTACTTTTGGAGTTTGGTATATGTTCTTGCTCTTTGTAACGTTGCGGTTTGGTGTCCTTCGGTAAACTTAATTACAAGTGAAAAGCGAATCTAATAGGTAAGTCAACATATAGTGAATGCCAACTCATGACATCAATGCTCACATTACTACTTGTTTCCTCTCACTCTTCTATGGTAACGTAAAGCCAAAATTTATTTGTTTATTATTTCTGGGGGAAAATAGTCACTAATAAGAAAATGAATTTATATTAACATCAGTAAAGGTCGTCGTATTCATGTTTTTATTGGGCATGTGCGTTTGATGCGACATCTCATTCAATATTAATTAAAATCGTTATACATTAATACATGCATAAACATGTGTTGCGAACTTGGGATCATGATGCCGTGTGCTTCATGCATCATGCTGCATGATGCATTTTCCATTCATCATCACATCATTATACATGTTATCAACTTTCTTTCTTGGAAAGTTCTATTCGAGTTCGGGGACACTATAGAATTTTAACACAATCCTCATAAAGTAACTAATCAAGCTTTTCAACACGCTTATACATTTCAATTCTCTTACCTTTTTTCTTATCAGCAATTACAGAGGGGAATAACTTTTTGTAAGAAACCTTTTTCACTTTATAAAAATGAGAAGTTTTTATATATATAAAGTCACCTTTGTAATTTAAAAGATAAAATTGGCGAGAAGCTTTATATTTAGTCCAAAGTGCATTGAACTTTTAAATTATATTATAAACTAAAATTTTAACGAGAGATATGCTTAAAAAATAATTCAATTAACGCTTGTACAATGCTATCTCTCGAGTGGTAAATAAAATTTTATGAATCTAAACCAAAATTCGAGCCGAACATTCTACAAATTTTCATTGGAAATGTTTTATAATCTAAACGAACTCATGAAGTCAATTATTGCAGGTTAATATAAGGACATGATCGAGAAAAATATACCACTATATTACAGGAAGCCACATGATCTTCCTCATTTACACCTTTTTATCAATAATTAAAGTTAGTTGCAATGCAAGAACTTTGTTCAGCATTTTGGTTAAATGGAAATGACTAAACTGTTAAATGTTTTCTAATATTTTAGTGATGATAATAGATAAAAATGATTCCTTTTTTTAGGCTTGATGATTGTCTTTGGTTCTTACCATGTGGGGGCATGCGAAGAAAAGTGGACCATGACCATAAAAGAAAAGAAAAAGATAAAGAAAAGTAAATAAAGAGAGAAAATAACATTGGAAGATGTTATAAATTATAATGCACGTCATTATCCGGATAAAACAAAAGTAAAATGAAACTGTAACCAGAATATTCGAGGATTCTTTGTTACATGCATATATAAATTGTTGGTTTCATGATGCACTTTCATGATGCACTTTCTTCGTATACATTATTGCATGTAGCATTTAGATGGACGACATATATCAAGAGAAATGAAAACGCAAACCAATTATAGACCAGTTTAATCTAATTTAAGCAGGGATTTAAGTTTGTCACTTGTTGGAAGTGCCAAGCTACGCTGCTTACCAAGAGATATCAAGCAACAAAGTTCAGAGGTTTTTTTTGATAGACCATTTCTCCATATATTCGAATGTGTCATAAGTAACAGACTCATATCTATTTGATCACATACTTCTGAAATGTAATGTAATGCCTTGGAACCCATGTTGTTAATCAACTCAGAACTCGTTTGACACTAGATCATCTTCATGTACTTTTCAAAAGTTCCATCTCATAAACAACTAGCAACGATTAGGAAGGAACTTATAAAACATTGACACCATGTGCTTTGATTAAATCTCATAAAGCATAGTTCCATCAATTTAGGATCGTATGCAACTTCTTCTAATGAAGTGTTGAGTGTCATTTGATACGTACACAATAAGATTTTTTTTCTTAAGAAAACTTCACTCTTCCAACTAGATTTTGAACTCTTCTTAAGAAACGAGTGAAAAATTACATGATTATAAGAGCATGTTTATCCCACTTTATTAAAAGTGGGGTGCTTAAATTTTTTTTTTTTTTTTTTTTTTTTTTTTTTCGGACTTAAAAAAAAAAAAAAAAAAAAAATTAAAAAGCAACCAATCGCGGGCCGCCACGTGTCGTGGAGCCCGCGTAACAGACCAAAAACCAGCCAAAACTCGGCGCTTATGGGAGAGTCACAAGCGCTGGATTTCCCCCTTTTTGGTGGTCCCCCCCCTCAAAAAATCCCCTAAGCGCTTGGGATAAACCTGCTCTAAGCTTTGTTTGATATTGTTTGGTAACTAGGAGATAAACCCATTGAATTTTACTATTTCAAGATTTACCTTCCATCACGTCAGTGCAGTGATCAATACAGAAACATATGCAATCTTGTTGATTCTTTCGAATTATCTTGAGTTACTATAATTTCTCCACAAAATATTTGACCCATGTGTACAGCAGACATAAGTAAACAAAAATAGGGTCTATTCACAACAACACCTTCTTGCACAAGGAGGTGTAATAATGAGGTCCACAACAAGAGAAAATAATCAAATTGAAAAAGGAAAAGAAGAAAGATATGAAGCCTTTTCTAGGAGTCAATGCCATTGCCCTTTGCCTTTTTCTGTCTTCATCTTCACAGTTTTTTTCTCAACTTTTGGTACTTTGTGAAATTATTATTCGATTTGATTTCTTTCTATACATTAATTTCCAAAGTTTTTTACAATGAGTGGGTGATGAAAGGACAACGAACTTTCTTTTTGGTTGGAAAAACACTTCAAATCCAATATGAATACATTAAACAAAGACATAACGTAATTGATGGTTTGGTTTAATCTTCGTCCCAGACCAGACGATATGGTTGACTTGACAAACTATGGGTCGATGAGTCCTTTTCTTTTATTTAAGTGTTTAGTTTAGGTTGCACATAATAATAAAAAACATGAACAAGGTATACATAATATATGTGGTATCACCCAATACGTTTACAATAACATCATAAACAATAGGAATCTAATACAAAAAAACAAATTATACTTTCTTAATTCTGAAAATATATAAAAACAAATAGTCAGATAACACTATCGACTAAGATGAACTAGAATACATTACTTATAACTACAATTAGCTGGAACATACAAAGCTTGAATGAAACCTTACTAGCAAACACGAATTGGAGTTGCTAGTCCTCATAACCAATGAGAAGTAGACAATAAGATCACAAGTGATACATTTACATAAAATAGTGCTATTGAACATATAGTCACCAATTTCTCAAAAATCAATGTCTGGGAACATGTAGTGCCACATTTATCATTAAGACGATTTTGTTGTTGTTGCACCTAGCAAAAAAATTAAATACACATAGCTGACTAATAAAATGAGACTGCGCATGAATTTATGTATATATGATAAACTACAAAGTTAAAGAGATGATGAAGATGTCGATGTTACATCATATCAGATGAACAACAATGCATCTACTTGTACACGGGGGTCTTCAACTTCCAAGTAGAATCAGCTTTTCTCTGTTTACAAGTTTAACTATTCCCAGTTGTATACTCGACTACAATCTTCAGTCTATCTTTCTACAAAATGAAATAGAACACAAAAGCTGACGGAATTTCATGATATGACCTATCATGTTCATGGTCAATCATCATGATCATCTTCGAGAATGAGAGTTTTTTATTTAAATCCGCGTCAG